GTGGGTCCGTGAGTCTGGAGAGGGCCAGGCAGGGCAGGGCATAGGAGGTGTGCCCGGGAGGAAGGAGGGGGAGGGAAGGTCTGCCCGGTGCCACCTCCCTGCCCTGTGTCTGGCTCCCACTGGCAACCTGAGCCCTTGGCCTCCCAAGCCGCTCCAGGAATGCAAACCCCAAACAAAGCACATTCTTGAGCCTGCCACCAGCTCCTGAGCCTCGGTAAGGGAAGGCCAGAGCCAGCATTTCTCTTGGCCCTGAATGACACGAGCATAGTCTGGTGCTGGGGGCTGTTAGCACAAACCAGGATTAATAGGCTGGCTGTCCCCCAGAGCTTATGAAAAGCCCAGTCCTGAGCCAGTCCTCCCATCCGAGCCTGCTGCAAAGGGAGAGGGGACCCGATCCCTAAGTGAGGGGACTTGGAATACCGCTGATTTCCTGAATCTGATTCTTTGTGCCGGTCCCGGGCTGTAGACAGGCTCCGAGGAAGCCGAGGCATTGTGAAGATTACCCTCCACGCTGGTGCTGTCTCTCAGTTCTTTGGTTTCTGGCTTCATTCAATTCAGCTGTTTGTTACACATTTATTTCACCAGTTATTTGTTACGCATCTGGACACAGCAAGCCCGGCTCTCTGTGATGCTCTGAGTGCCCGAGGGTGAATGGCACTGTATGGTCCTGAGGACAACCTACAAAGTTTTGTGTGTGGGGGTGGGGCATGGTGGGGGCAGTGGCTGTGTTCACCAGGTGCACGAGGGGCAGGGGCCCTGGGCAGAGGCAAGGAGGGGAGGAGGAGAGGCGGGGAGGTAGGAGCTGTGCCAAGGGACTCAGAGGCCCAGACTGAGGCTCGGAATTGCCTGAAGGGTAGAGGGTGCTCCAGGGGATGCTAAGCTCGGCAAGGACAGCTGGATTCGGAGACAGAGAGAGATTTCTGAAGAGCAGGGGTCTGAGGTGAACAGAGACCCATCCAGAAGGGTCCCCAAAGATGGGGACGCTGAATCCAGACAGGGGAGCCTGGGAAAGGGATTTGTCCCTTACTATACCCTTAGGAATGTTTGCTTTTAAGGATGTGAGTTGCTAAACAGATTAGGACCGAGCCTCCCTTTCTGTTGAGTGGGAGGGAGAGTGTCCCCACTGTCCCCTTCTCATCCTCCAGATAAGGAGGGCAGGGCAGGCCCCCTTCGGGGGACAGTGAGTGGGAGCTTAGGAGTCCATTGCCTCAAGGGCACAGCCACGCCCTCCCTTGCAAGGCTGACCAGAGGAGGAGCCTGGAAGGCCCAGCTCCAGCCCAGATAGGCCAGACCACTAGTCGCAAGCCTGGAGGTCCTCATTCCAGCAATTCGGAGGGTGGAGGGAGGCTGGGGGGAGACAGACTTCTCTCTGAACCGCCTAGAAAACTCACCAACCCTAGCGGTCCCCTCAGGCAGCCAGTCTTCAGATACTTCCGGCCTCCAATCCCTTATCCCACTGACCCTCTGAGTCATCTGCCAAATACTTCTTCTTCAGAACTTCTTCTTTGCATGAAGAAAAGAAATTGTCTCAGGAGAATCCAATCTGGCTAATGAGGAACTAGGCCTGGGAATTTTTCCCAGTTCTTTCCCTCAAGGAACCATCACCTAAACTCACTCAAGACACACTTCTCAGGCATTGGCTGGGTTCTGGGCATGAACCAGCTACTGAGTACGTGAGGGCAAGCTAGAAAGACTGGGCTCCTCCATTTCCGGATGAGGAAGTCACTATTTCCCCATCTGTAAAACAGACCGATCCCAGGCTTGCCCAAGCTCACAGGGATACCAGGATGTGAGGGGCCTCCAGTTGTCATGGCACCCATCTTTTTGGGCTTGACATTTTGAACCCCTTACATTGTACACCCCAGCTGATGTCCTTGTCGCCTCCGTATGCTATGTCATTTGAGGCAATGGAGTGTTTCGTTCAGAACGGTTGAAATCTCAGGCATGGCTCAGTCACTTACTAGCTGGGGACCTTGGACAAGTTACGTAATCTCTTGGAGCCTTTAGCTTTCTCATCTGCGAAATGGGACACTCCTTAGCTCATCAAGTTGATCTAAGGATTGAAGTGAGGGCTTCACCACCTTGTCAGATTGGGAGATGAAGAGGAGAAAGAGGAGAGGAGGGACCTTTCCAGAGAGGGATGGTGACACGAAAGCCTATGGGGGGTGGGGAGGTGGAGGGGGTGGAGCGGGGCCTGGAGCCGGGCCATCTCTCCCCAGATCCCTAGCGGCTTTCATGGTACCTCGAGGTACAGACCACGTGGTTCACCACTGACACAACCTGATTCCCTAGCTCAGCAAGGCACCCCCAAAGTCTTTCCCAGGAGGGACCTCCAAGAGGTAAGTCCTCAGCAGATGCCAGCTCCGGCTCTTAGTGGCCCTCATGGGCTGTGGTGGCCAGTCCCCCATTCTCATAATAGGGAGACCCTTTTTCAGGCTCACCGTGCCCCTGAAATTCCGACCATTTAAAAACGCCTCGGTCCCATCCGTGGATACAGTATCGTTCTGTATGCTTAGAAAGCCCCCTCCTCCAACACACACACACACACACACACACACACACAGCTTTTGCCTCTCTTGGAAAGGGTGGAGGGACCCCTGCTTGTAAATGCTTTTCTCAGGGAGGGTGAAAGGGGACAGTGGAAGGTGGGGGTGGGGGCGGGCAGACCAGGGCTGGACTTGGCAGTGGCTTCCCAAACATGCTGCTCCATCCCTCACGGGGTCTGAAGCTCTTCTAGCACCTTCTTCTAACAGTTACTTCAGCAACAAACAGACCCAAAATAGGGGTGCCCAGAAGCAATAGGAAAGTCTCCCCCACAGTCTGCTCGCCAGGGGGCACCCATGGCCATCGGCTGCCTCTGGCCTGCGTGGGAAGGCCAGGCTGGGCCAGCAGGGGGCAGCACCCTTCTGAGGCTGCATGAAAGGAGAAAAGCCCCAGATTCTATTTGTCATGATCCCCAGAGCTGATCCTCCAGGAGGCTCCCCCTGAGCCCTGAGCCCTGACAGGTGTTCCTCCTCTGTTCCTGCCTCTCGGGAATGAATTACACCATCGCACAGTAAGTGCCGTCTGACTCCCCGGTAACCCCTCCCGAGGCAGGTTTTCTTTGTATCCCTGGTGCTGGTACAGCTTTTAAAAATAACGGGCTCAGTTGGTTAAGTGTCTGCCTTTGGCTCAGGACAGGATCCTGAGGTCCTGGGATCGAGCCCTGCATGGGGCTCCTTGCTCAGGGGTAGGGGGAGCCTGCTTCTCTCGCTCTTCCCCTCCCCACTGCTTGTTGTTGCTCTCAAACAAATAAATAAAATCTTTAAAAAGAAGAAGAAGAAGAAGGAGAAGAAGAAGAAGAAGAAGAAGAAGAAGAAGAAGAAGAAGAAGAAGCAGCAGCAGAAGCAGCAGCCGCCTGGAGGGCTCAGTCAGTTTAGCCTTTGGCTCGGGTCATGATTCCAGGATCCTAGGATCGAGTCCAGCATCGGCTCCTTGCTCAGCGGGGTGTCTGCTTCTCCCTCTGCCTCTGCCTCTCCCCCAGCTTGTGCTCTCTCCTTTCTCCCTCTCTCTGACAAATAAATAAATAAAATCTTTAAAAGGGGGCGGAGGGGCACCTGGGTGACTCAGTCAGTTAAGAGTCTGCCTTCAGCTCTGGTCATGATTCCAGGGTCCTGGGAGCAAGCCCCACGTTGGGCTCCCGGATCAGCAGGGGAGCCTGCTTCTCCCTCTCCATCTGTGTGCTCACTCACTCTCTCTCAAATAAATAGATAAATCTTAAAAAAAGAAAAGAAGAAGAAGAAGAAGAAAGAGATGCTCTAAAAGCTTCAAGTCTTTAAGTCCATGAGCAATCCCCTTTCCACTTGGGTAAGATGGCAGTGAACTTCAGCTGAGTGAACCGAGGCCACCATGAAGACATCAGCTGCTGAGTACAGCCCCTCCTGCCTCCTAACTGGAGTCTTGCCTACAGCCGTACTGGGAGCGAGGTGATACGGCCGGTCGAGGTTTGGGGATAGAACCTGCTCCTTGGGAACAGCCAAGGACAGCTGGCCGCCTGGGGCCCTATTTAGTCTGAGACCGTCACAGGGACGGATTTTGGGGGTCCCCTCTACCCATCAAGATACCCATCCACCCAACCCCGGCACGAGCTGCCCGAGAGGATAGGAATATAGATTTTAATTATTGTTCTGCTGCTGTTAACCCGGGTGTAGTCAATCCAGACTTCGTGGATTTTGATGCCACAGTGTACACGAGAAGGTTTTGTACAGAAACGCTCCAGGAACGTTGGGGACAAAAGGGCCAGGGAGGGGTGGCGGAAGGAGAAAGTGAGTGAGGAGAGGAGCGGGAAGCAGAGCCTGGGCTGGGTGTCTGCTCCTTCCTCATCATTGCGTTCCCATCAAGGACCCGAGAAGCCTGGGATCTTCCTGGCCGAGGCTGCTGACCTGGACTGGTCCATTTGAACCTGACTTCCCTTCCAGCTCAGCGGCCCCTGCTCCAAAGCCAGCTCGCTGAGCAGAAGAGGGGGAGGGCAGGCCTGCTGCTGACCGCCAAACGGGGTAGGGATGCGAATCATGGGAGAGAAGACGGGTTTGGGACTCCTTGCAACACCTCACCATTTTCCATCCCAAGAGACCCTCAAACTAGCACAGAGCTGGGGAGAGGACAGTGATAGCCGTGGTCTTCTGCCCCACCCACCTCCTGCCCTGGCCCCTGGGGGAGGCAGAACTCACTGGAAGGGGAGGTGGCAGGTACTCCTGGACCTTCCTCTGCCTGAGCAGGAGGGGAGGAGCCTCCTCAGAGCTGGGCTGGGCTCCAGCTGCAGGCGGGCGGAGTCAGCGTGTCTTCTTATGGTTTCCTGGGATCGGTACAGTTTGGAAGTGGAGGGAGGTCCCCCAGAGCCCCTAGGGCCTGACCCCCCTAGTTGCGGACAGGACCTGGCACCCTGGGAAGTCACCCAAACTGCTCTGATGAGACCGTGTCTGTTGTCAAGAGTGGAGTGGTCTGGTCCGGGGCAGAGGCGCCAGGCCCCTGGGCAGCTAGGAGTCGGAGACACACAGGGCTTCCACGGCGTCGCTCAGACCCTGACTGACGCCCCCCACGGCCAGGAGGCAGTTCTTGATGACAATGCTGGAGCAGGCGCAGCGGGGCGTGGGCATGGTGGGGAGCGCCTCCCACTTGTTCTTCCCCGGGTGGAATGCCTCTGCCGTCTCCAGGACCGTGGGCTGGTTCCCTGAAAGCGCCAAGGGAAGCGGACCTCACAAAGGAGACCAGCCACCGATCCCTGCCCTACAGCACCGCCACCTCCCTGGCCCCCTCTGGAACCCACAAGCAGAAGCCAATGGACCTCAGTCGCTGGGCTGCAGAACGGCTCCCTCCTGACCCTGGGCCTTGGCTCTTGGCCGACAGCCTCTTGGCCCTGCCTGCCTTCTCTCCCTCTTTTCATCTCCACCCACTGCTTTGACCACAAGTCTCTAGACACTGCTGCTGCCTTTCTTTTGCCTCATACTAAACAGCTGTCCCCGAGGTCTGGCTCGCATTGAGCTCCTTTCATGCTCGGGCGAAGTGGGAGTCTGTCCACACTGCGTAACCTCGGAGCGCCTAGAGGTTCTCTGCCCTCTTGAGGTTGGGGTCCTGCTTTCAAAATACCTCTAGTCTCTGCGAGGAGTAACCCAGCAAATCCTGAACCCATTACAAAAATCTGTCTAATCAGGTTGCTCTCCTAGTCCACGATGGAGCTGGATATCCAGGGAGGAGAGCGAGCCAGAGAAAGAGGACCAGGCTAATCCCTGCCACGCGTTTGTCCCCAGGTGTTCCTAGATAGGCCCCCAGGGAGCTGTGCTCAGCAAGCCTGCTTTCCAAGGTCGGCAGCCTGTTCCGCATGCTGTCTTGGCCTCAGTTCCCCCTGTGTGAGAGGATGGAAAGAGCACATGGGGACTCGTTTGTGGATATGTGGGAGGGCATGTTTTGAATTATTTGGGTTAAAGTGGTAGGCAGGCAGTGTGCAAGAAGCAGCCAGGACCTTCTCCTGCTCACGAAGAGTGAGCGCCAAGTGTCCACCAAGCACCCGACCCGCAGTAACAGCCTGAAAGCGCCATCCTTACCGAGTCCTCCGGCCACTATGACCCGTCCGCTCAGAGAGCCGGCCACAAAGTCTGCCCGCCGCTTCTTGAGGAAGAATGAGCGTTCCATCTTCAGCCAGCCCCCTACAGGCCATGGATCGTGGCAGATAAATTGAGAGAGAATTAGATGCTGACCTCCCCCACCAAATACGCACCTTGTCCCCAGAGCTCACACCCGAGGCCGAAGTCCACTCCAACCACCCTTTGCGCTCCGGGCAGAAACTACACCTCCTGCTGTTTGAAATGATGGGCTCCGAGGCCTCCCACCTCTCCCACCCAGGCTTGCTCCAGTCCAAGGAACCCTAACCCCCTGCAACGAATCACCTCGTTCTCTCTCTGTTCTCATGGGCTCCGAGCTGGAGAGAAGGCTAACTAGAGGCAGCGAGCGTGAAGGTCGGGATCCTTCTGGGTCTACATCGGTAAAAAGCAGGAGAAGCCCTCCCTCCCCTGGCCCTGCCTGGATGTTGTAAGAAGAGAAAATAGATGGGAAAGTCTTGGAGACAAACAACCAGCCAGCCAAGAGGAACCCTGTCCAGATGGAGGAAAGCGATCCCAACAGTAGCCTGGAATGATGCGGGCTGTCCAGATCTCTGAAAGGTTCCCCTTGCTAGGTCAGCGACCCTGGGTGGGTGCATGGGATGGGGGCAAGGTGCAGGGAGTCAGCCAGAGGGGTGGTGGGCAGCCAGCGGCTGGTGCCCTGCTCACCTTGTTCCATGTCGAACACGTCCATGGTCCGGAGGAACTTGGGCTGCCGGTAGAGCCGACCCTGCCTCAGGCCCCCCAGGCTGTAGAGGCGGTCATCCAGGGTCACAAAGCTGGAGAAGGCCCGCTTGCTGGGAATGTTGGGGAACTTGGTCCAGGAGCGAGTCTCAATGTCAAAGACCTCAAAGGCATTGACTGCGTACTTGGACTGTCGTCCCCCTGGGGGCCAGAAAGGGGTTGGAGGAGTGGAAGAGGGGGGCCACAGTAAGTACCTGAGGGCAAGGGCTGGGTTTCCCCTTTTGACTGTTACCGAACCGTACAGGGAATGCACTGTGTGTCAGTGCTTCCTGTGGGAACGGACCCCAGGAGAGAAGAAGAGATAGATGCGGGACAGATAACATGTCCTTACCTAGCACATAGATTTTGGAGCCTCGGAGGAAGGAGGTGGCAGCATATCTCGGGGTGGGCATGGGTGCTAGTGACACCCACATGTCCTTGAGCATGTCATAGTGTTGGAGGTGGTTGTGTGGACAGAGGTCCAGGCCCATCCCGCCAGCCGCGTACACTCGGTAGTCTAAGGAGAAAGGCCACATACATACCCCTGGCTCAGCTTATCTGCACGACAAGACAGGCCCATCAGTAATCACCTATCAGACCTGGCTCCATTAACCCCTTGAAGACCAGCACTAAGGTCAGGTCGGGTTCCCAACCACTGCAACGTCCCTGAGTGGGGCTGATGAAACCTTGACAAGTCCCTGCCAGGTTGAGCCTGCGTCTTCTTGAAACTGCATCACGCTTGCGTGTCTTAGTCATCCTTGGTGTCTGGCCCTTGGCTGAATCTTGCACGGGGTAGACTGTGATGGAGTGGGGGTCTGGACAACCCTTCGCAGGTCTTGTCCTCTCCATGTTCCTCCCTCCTAGGCAGCCAGAGGGAATGCCAAAGAGGAGAGGTATTCCTCTTATTGCCTTCCAATAGTGGACTGTTGCTTAGGCATTCCCAGACTGGAATGCTCCAGACCCAGCAGGAGCCTTTGGAAATGAGGTCAGCCCTGCTGTCGCTGGCCTTGTGGGACACTGGCCTGCTGCTGATTTTCTCTGTCTGCCCCCTCCTCCCCCAGGAGTGCCTTCCTCCTTCACATACTGGGTGGCGTGTGGGCTCCAGAAGGCATCCTGCACTAGGTGAGACAGGGTTAGGGCTGAATGAGGGGGAGGCTTTGGAGGACAGAAGACTAGCCCCTTCAAGGAACCCTGCCAGGGTGGTAAGCTGGGTACTCTCAGAGCAGAAGCGAGTTCGCTCCCATTTTCTGTTGCTCTTGGCCGCAGGTAGGCAGGTAGGCAGGCACCTCCCTGATACACTGCAGCAGAGAGGATAAGCAAGGCGTCCCTGTTTCCCGGGGCTTCCCTCCAGGGCCTCCTGAGGCCTACCAGAGACACAGCTTCCCCTGCTCCCTGACCCCACAAGCCACTTCCCGGGGACCCACCCGTGCCTGGGATTCTGTCTCCCAGTAGCCAGTCTTCCCGGCTTCTGGCCCTAAGAGGCTTTTATTCTTCAAGGGAATTACAGGGATGAGTACTATTTCCTTTTATTGAGTACTACCTCCAGTTTTATTGAAAAAGGAAAAAAAAATCCCAACCGTAGCCTCAGGTCAGGAGATTGGGCCTGCTAATACTGGGAGGGTTTCCCTTACACGAGCTCTGCCTCGCCCATCCCTGTGTCCCCCGAAAACACACCTCCAGCAGAGAACCCTCAGTCCGTGCCCCACCACCACTCCTGGGCCAGCTCCTACTCAGCCCTTCACGGGCACTTAGGTGACCCCCAATGGCAGAGCTGGGCTGAGAGCACCACACCAGTGCCTCCCAAGGCATCGGCTTTGCCCTACTCACTGTTTATTACGGAAATAATCATCGTCTGTTTCTTCCACTAGATTGTTAGAGAATTTGTTTGTCCATGGCCCCAGCATTTGCTTCAGTGCTGGCCACACACGCATAGGAAAGCTTATCAGACCCACTGCTGAACCCAGTCATTGCCACAGTGAAGAGCAGAGACTCCATCATCACTCATTAGCCCTGTGACCTTGGGCAAGGCATTTAACCTCTTCGGGCACATGACTTCCCTCCAGAATGAGGGTAATCATAGCGCTTACCTCATCACCCAGCCTGTGAAGATCACATTAAAACACATAAAGCACCTACGGTAATGACTCAATAAATGTTAGTTCTTAATCTCCCAGCAGCACTTCTCGAGGCCGGTCAGGGGTTGGGGGCGGGGGGCGGCAAGGAAAACCCTTTCCCTCTCTTTCCCCCCACAACAGGCCTCCAGGTCTCCTGTCCTTCCTACTCAGGGTTCCTGGAGGCCCCAAAGGCCACTGCCCTGAGGGATTCTGGGTTAGAGTTTCTCACTGGTCACCTTCACTGGTCAGACCTGGACTTCTGAAAGTAGGGGCCAGGACTTCGGTCTCTCTCCTTCATCCCTGGGACCTAGAACTATGCAAGGGACAGAGCAGGTGTTCAAGAAATACTGATTCCTGATCTACAGTAGACCCAACGGGTCAATGGGATGGTTTTGCCCGAGGGGGAGGGAGGATTACATCCCACCAAGGCTATCTGAGTTGCACTGGGGACCTTCTAATTTCTGTTGGACCATTTCCTATAAAACCCTTTGCACTGGGGCACCTGAGTGGCTCAGTCGGTTAAGCATATGCCTTCGGCTCAGGGTTCTGGGATTGAGTCCTGGGATCCAGCCCTGCCTCAGGCTCTCTGCTCCGAGGGGAGCCTGCTTCCCCCTCTGTGGCTCTTCCCACTCGTGCCCTCTCTCTCCCTGTCAAATAAATAAACCTTTAAAAAAAAACAACAGCAGTTGGGGCGCTTGGGTGGCTCAGTGAGTTAAAGCCTCTGCCTTCGGCTCGGGTCATGATCCCAGGGTCCTGGGATCAAGCCCCACATCGGGCTCTCTGCTCAGCGGGGAGCTTGCTTCCTCCTCTCTCTCTGCCTGCCTCTCTGCCTACTTGTGATCTCTGTCTGTCAAATAAATAAATAAAATCTTTAAAAAACAACAACAACAACAACAGCAGCAACAGCAGCAAAAAAAAAAACCCCTTCATGTTTCAGCAAAAGAGAATTTGGAGCCCCCTCTGTGCTCTGGGCTGTGCTAAACCCAACGAGAAAGAAACAAGGGGCTTTGAGAAAGTGAAACGAAGATCACGTAACCTCCTGATCAGCACGTGCTCGCCCGGAGGGAGACCTGTGAACCTGGGCAGGATGCTGCAGGAGCATGACCCTCAGGAACTTTCTAGTCCCCATTCATTAGCCTCTCTGAGATTAGGAGGCAGAGGGGGAGATTGAGGGTAGTGGGGAAGGCCCTGGAGTCAGGCCTCAAAGCCCCACTAGTGGGGCATGGTACAAGGAGGCAGGGAAGGTTCCCAGGACCCCAGATATGTGTCTGAGGTGTTGGCCCCTAAAAGGCAGTGGGCAGGGGATGAGGTGTTGTGGGTGGGAGGCTCTGTCCTTCTGCAGAATGAAGACGTTTGCAGGGACACAGCACTAACCCTCAGCTCTCCCCTCTGGCCAGGCGGGCCCCAGCTCTCCGGGAGGAGCCTGGTGGAATTACTACACACTTCACCTGCTGAGCCTGTTTTCCCATCTGTAAAATAAGGCCAGTGGGTCTTCAGTTTCAGGTCTATTATGGGGATCAGATAGGATCAGGACTGTGAGAGCGGCCCCCGACTCAGTGTTGGTTTCTATCCCTCTCCCGGTGGTCCCCCACTCCCTCCTCTCTGCCCTCCCGCCGCCCTGGCCCCACTCGCCTTTGGCCGTGACAGAAATGCCCATGGCGGCCTCTCGCAGCACGCTCCTCTTCTTCCACTTGCCCTCATCGATGTTGTACATCTCCACGACCTTCAGGGGCAGCTGACTGGTGCCCACACCCCCGATCACCATGATCCGCTTCCCCAGGGCGATGGCGGCTACCCCGGCCCGGGCTGTGGGCAGGGCGGGCAGGGCGGTCCACTGGTCGGCCTCGGGGGAGTAGACCTCAAAGCAGTCCATGGGGATGCCGTTGTCGTCACATCCCCCGATGGCATAGACCTGTCCCCCGCTCTCCAGCAGGGAGCAGTAAACCCGGCGGCTGGGCAGCGGCGCCAGGCGCTTCCACTGGAAGTCCTTGACGTTAGGCACCTCCATCGCAGCCCCGGGGGCCCCGCCCGCCGCGCCCCTGTGCCCGCGGAGAGCCAGGGCGCCGCGGGAGGTGCGAGCCCGGGGGGCCGCCCGTTACTCCGCGCCCCCTCTCGCCGCCTCCATCTGGCTCCCGTCCGCCGGCTCCCGCCCGGCCCCGGGCAAGGGCCCCGACGCCGGCCAGCGCTTCACAGTCCCTCCAGACTGCGCGGTCCGGCGGCGTCCGCGCCTGGCCCTGCGGGAGGGATGGGGCGAATCAAGGGAGGTCGGGGCCCCGCGCCCTCGCCTCCTCGCGCCGCCGGCGGGGCGGGCTCCCGGCTCCCAGGTCCTGGCCAACTTTAAAGGGAGGACGCGGCGGCCGAGGGCGCCACCCCGCGGCGGCATCGCGCCCCGCAGCGCCAGGTCCCCCGCCCCTCCGGACGGGCTGCTCGGAGGCTCGCCGGGCGCGCGCCGGGCTGGGTGCTTTCGGGGGCTCGCGGCGCCCCGCTGCCTGCCCGCGGAGCGAGGAGTTAACACCTCCCGGCTCCGCCGCCTCCCTGCCCACGCCCCCGCGCCACTTACACAGCCAGGCCCGAGGAGCGCGGCGGCGAGGCGCAGACCGCGCATCAGCAGGGAGCGGGGAAACGGGGATCCGGGAGCCCCTCCGCCCCGGGGCCGCGGGGAGCCGCGGAGAGGGCGCGGTGTCCTTCCCCAGCGCGCACGCCGCCGTCACACATGCAGGCGAGGAGAAGGGACGAGCAGCGCGAAGGAGAAGCGGAGCCGCCCGCGGGGAGGAGGCCGGCCCCGCTGCTCCGCGAACCTCCCCACCCGCAGCCGCCACACCTGTGCAGGAGGCCGCGTGCGCCCCGCGGCGGAGCAGGCCGTGACCTCTTTACATAAGCGCTGGCAGCACCAGCCCGCGGGGGAGGGAAGGGGCCCCGCGGGAGCCGCTCACCTTGTCTACCCGGTCAGAGGGGCGGGGCACTGGAGCCAGGAACCCAGATTCCAGGGACCAGACTCCCTCCAGCTTGATGGTGGTGTGTGTGTGTGGGGGGGGCGGTTTGTGTTTGTTTTGTTTGAGGAGGCGGAGAGACCAATTACCCAGTTTATCTACAGCACCCAGACCGGGTTCGTGACAGGCTGGCTCAGTAGTCAGCTTTGCGTTGGGGGAGGCAGGATCGAGTGGTTTAACCTCATAGAAACAAGATCCGTGGGTGTGACACGTGCAGACCTGACACAGGTGCACCCAGACAGAGCGGGGCCACTGACCCCGCACACCTCTGTGTGACTTAAACATCGCCCCAGCCTCTCCCGTCCGGAAACTGACAAAGCACACACATGTAGACACGTAACCAGAGACACCGAAGTAGATGGAGGGGCGGGGGGCGGGAGGCGGCTCTCCCCCACGGCCGTGCCTTCTGTACGTTCCTTGAGAAGGGGAGGCCTGGTTATGCAATGTTGCCACTCAGCACCAATCCACGGGGCTTGCCAAATAATTTTCTCAAGCCACATTCTCATAGCCTTTTCAGGATAGCAATCCCCTTGTAACAAAGGTGCCCAAGACAACTGTGGGCCCCCTGGTCTGACTGCAAAGCCTTTGGGGTCCTCCTTCTTCCTGGTTCCCTTGAATACAGTCTTGAAACACTCAGGCTTGGGAGTCTGACAGAGGTGGGTTTGAATTCTAGCTCTGAAATTATTTAACTACTCTGAGACCCAATTTCCTTCTATTATTTTAATTTATCTTTTTATTTGGAGATAAATTGTAGATTTACATGCAGTAGTGGGAAATAACACCCTTTACCTAGTTTCCCTCAATGGTAACATCTTGCAAAACTTATAGTACAATAATATTACAACCAGGCTATGGCAATTAATCAGGGAAGGTACTTCCTTCACATCACTAGGATTCTTTCTGTTCCCCCTTCATACCCACACCTACTTCCCTCCCACCCTTTGCTCTCCAGGCCCTGGCAACTATTCATCTGTTTTCCATTTCTATAATTTTGTCATTTCAAGAATGTTACATAAATAGGATGATACAGTAGGCAACATTTTGGGATTGACTACCCACCCCCTTCCTGGCATAATTCTGTGGAAATTTGCCAGGTTGTTGTATGTTTGCCAATAGTTTATTCCTTTTTATTTCTGATAGAAGTATCCATAGTATTCCATGCTATGGATGGATCCTTGCAGATTTTCGTGAAGATTAAATGAGATATTGTTTGTAAAAGGCTCTGTTCCGTTTTCCAACACAGAGCAAGGGCCTGGTAAATCGCTATTAACACCATTGTTACCAACTATTGTCAACAACTTGCAGAAGAAGGCAGACAGAGAACAAACACAGACATTTTATCCCTTGCTCAGGAATGATTTCCTGTGAGAAACAGACATCACGACTCACAGTAGGCCTATCTTAATATCTTGAGTTCTTGGCTTAGAAATTCCCCTGTTTCTTTTAGTTTGAATTCTCTGTACTTACACAGTAAGCACCTCTAGAACCTTCAGAGGAAGGTTGTGTTCTGTTTTCTCTATTCAGTAAGAACTCATAAATTCCAAAAGAATGTGGTCTGAATTAATGAAGTTTTATAAGAAACACCAAATATTTATCTTCTGTCCTGGGGATCACAATCTCCCCGGGGGGGGGGGACTAGGGAATAGACTTTCAACCCCCGACTTGAGCTGTCTTCACAAAACCAGCACAGGCTGATCAGGAAGACTGAAAGCCCTAGGCCTTCCTCAAAGGGGCTTGTGGGGGTGGGTCTTCAGTCTCTTTTACCCACCGAGCTTTTTTTTTTTTTTTTAAATGAAAATAAAAACATTTATTTACTTTAGAGAGGGGTAGGGAGAGAGCATGAGCAGGGGGAGGGAAAGAGAAGCTCCAGCAGGCTCCCCACTGAGCATGGAGCCTGACTTGGGGCTCCAGATCACAATCCTAAGATCATGACCAAAGCCAAGATCATGACCTGAGCTGAAATCAAGGGTCAATGCTTAATCCACTGTGCACCCAGGCCTCCCTTGCTTACTGAGCCTTTTTTTTTTTTTTAAATGCTGCTTTTCTCCTCAGTATTTTTTTTTATTTTTATTTTTTTAAGATTTTATTTATTTATTTGACAGAGATCACAAGTAGGCAGAGAGGCAGGCAGACAGAGAGGAGGAAGCAGGCTCCCCGCCGAGCAGAGAGCCCGATGAGGGGCTCGATCCCAGGACCCCGGGACCATGACCTGAGCTGAAGGCAGAGGCCTTAACCCACTGAGCCACCCAGGCGCCCCGAGCCTTTTTTTTTTTTTTTTTTTAAGATTTTATGTATTCATTGGAGAGACGGAGAGAGAACACAGCTAGGCAGAGGGAGAAGGAGAAGCAGGCTCCCCCCTAAGCAGGGAGCCTGCTGCAGGGCTCCATCCCAGGACTCTGGGATCATGACCTGAGCCAAAGGCAGCCGCTTAACCGACTGAGCCACCCAGGTGCCTGCTTACTGAGCTTTTTGCCAAAGCAATGAGGCGAAGCTCCTTGTGCCCCCACCCACTCCAGTGGGGCAGCAGAGTCCCACACTACTTTGTGTTTGCAAAACTCATCCAGCTAACCCAAACCCTCACACACCCATTTTCTCAGGATCTTTGAAACAACCCTGGGAAAGGTGACCCGGGCGGGTGTTGGTCTACACTTTCACAGATGTCTGAGAATTTGTGACATAAAGTAAAGGACTTGTGGCCTCTTGAGGGCCTGGACCAGTGCGGATCTGGTTTGTGAATTCCAAATCCAACACCCCCCGCCCCACTTTAACAGTTAAATCACAAAGGAAAGCTTGTGTATTCTTAAGGACACCGAGCTTTTCCACTCACAACTGGCTCCCGGCTTTTTGTCCAGTTACAGTGAAGGAAGGAGCCCAGGCCCCCAAAGGGTTCCAGCGACTTCTGTCCCCCCATTGCTGGACTGTGTCACTGGGAAAGGACTGGACTCCAGCCCCAGAAGATGCCCCATCTGAGCCTAACGCTCATGTTTTGTAAGCACCACCCTCTGTGAGGGCTGTGAGATCTAGGGACTCAGACCCTTGGAAAAGTACTAAGAACGGGATGCCTTTCAGACCATGGCCTAATTGCTTGTTCTGGAAATACTGGCTTCTCTCCATCTCCCCTACTCCTTCCCCCATGGCTCTTCCTCCCAGCCAGGTGACATCCTTTAATCCTTACATTGAGTGCACATTGAGGAAACTTGTAACCTAGCAACCGCCACTTAAGATTCCCTGAGTCACGGGCGTGTTTCCATGTCTGGGCAGAGCGCACCAAGCTGGGGCCTGAAGGCGTGCCAAGCAGAGGCAGGGAGTCTAGTGACCCCTTTGATGCCTCCACATCCCACTCTAGAGCGAGGCTACTTTCCCTCTCAGCACTTTCTTTCTCCGGTCAAACCTAAACCCTTCTTGCTCTGACACCTTGCACTGCATCAGGTCCGGCTTTCTCTTCTCTCTTAAGAAGTGTTTGACTTTCTGCCTTGGTTACAAGATGGCACAGGACAGTGGGGAAGCGGGGGAAGGAAAGTTGATGAGAGCCTCTGACAATAAATTCTCTCTTTGGTTCTGCGGAGTCCTTCTTACCGTGATATTTCTGCACCAGCCTTGTCAAGGGGGTGCTCAGCTCTAGAAAAAGTCACTCCCCCTGCTCGTACTCTCTTTCTCTCTGACAAATAAATAAATAAAATCTTTAAAAAAAAAATAAAGAGAAGAAAAGAAAACCCACTTTCTAGAGGTATGGGAGGAACCAGATGCCAGGCAGAGATCCTGGGCACGTAGGAGGTACATCATTCCTCTCTGTGTGACGGCAAGTCCCTGCACCCTGACTTTCTGGGCATCCAGGCCAGTGCGTCCAAACAGCAGGTGACCGTTTCACAGAGCAGACCCCTTAGCAGGGCTCACACTCTCTTGTGCCCAGCCACGTCTGTGCCTGCATCTCAGGCAGGACTTCTTCCCTCCTAGCACACTGAAATCTCACGGGACTGATCTGGAGAACGGCCGGGGCCCTTCCTGTAGAGAATCACCTCACCTTCCTCGGCAGGCGCGTGGCCATATTCAGGGGGTGGGAGTGTGGAGAGCTCCTCCAGGCAGGGCTGAGGCTGCGAGCAGATCCAGGGGAAGGTATATTCCTCCCCGACATGGAAAAACCTCATGGGGCCTCCTCCCGTCCAGTCAGTGCCAACAACAGCCCAGAAGAAGGATTCGGGGCTCCAGAGGACTCAGTGGGAGATGGTGTGACACCGGTGCCAGCAGGCAGAAGCACGCCCCTTGGGATTGGCAGTCTGGAGGCCTGCGGGATGGCGCCCTCCTCACCCCACAGTCTTGACTAGACAGAAGAACTAGCCACATGCCTTCAGTCACCTGCCCTGCCCCCTCCTCCTCTAGAACAGAGCACAGGCCTGGGGCTTGGAGGAACTTAGCGGTGTCCGTTAAGGGGGCATCTGCTGGACAGCGAGTTTCAGGTATGGGATGTTGGGGTGCAGGAAGAGGTCATTTTGGTTTTCAGAATCAGGAGCTGCACTATTTACAAGAGTCGGGAAGCTGCCCCTTTGTCTGCTGTTTAGTGCATAGAGATGAGAGCGTCAGCAGCAAGCGAGACCTTCTGTGAGAGACCGTGGCCCCTTCCCTGTGCTGACAGAGGAGGCTGTATGAGGAAATGGGGCTTAGAAAAAAGCCCGAGCATCTGGGTTGGAAACAAGGAAGAGCTTCCTGCCCAAGAGCATCAGAAAATGAAAACACCAGCCTCAGGTGAGCTGAGAGGCCGTGGTGTCACCTTCCCCCGGGGAGATACTGGAAATAGGAAAGACACAGGCCCGAGAGTCAGGAGACCTCTGCTCCAGCCATGTGTTGTCGGAGCGGGGCTGTGCACCCC